GGGGAGGCTTCGGGCGGTGGCAGTCACAGCAGTGGGAAGCCTGGAAAGCGTGGTCACGGCAGCAAAGAACCCCAAGAGGCCTCTGGTGGTGGTGGTTGCGGCGGCGCTGGAAGCCCAGGAGGCTGAGCCCAGCCAGGATGGTCCAGCGGCTTGCTTCCCGGCAGCGGTGGCAGCAGTGGTGGAAGCCCAGGAGGCTGAGCTTCCTTTTTCCTAACTGTTGGGGTGAAAGAGCTATAAAGTAGCAACCTCTTCGCCATCAACAGTTTGAATTTCCCGTCCTTTCCCTCTGCCTTTTTTTGTTTGTACATTGAAGCTCTGGCTGCAAGTCGAAGCAAAATTTTGCGGCCGGAGCTTTTTGTAAGTCGAGGCACCACTGTACATTCCTTATGACTTAACTCTGATGTTATCTCACACATCTGTTATGCCTCTCTTCTAGGCCGTTGATCACTGCAGACGTCATGTGTGGAACTAGAAGAAATATCAACCTTGGCTGACACTTCTTCATTCTTGAAGAAACAAGAAGTGAGGGCTAGGCTAGCAAGAGCTAAATCCTTCATGTACTGGTTTTTCCACTCCCAGTTTCATCATCATCCCCAAGCTCAAGTTTCTTTTTATGAATTGTTTGGCATTAGTTCTGCTACCCTTGAAGGATCCGTTGTTGACCTAACGAAATTTCTGACTCTAGTTTTAATTCCTTATAATTCATCAGAATATGTGATAAATCAGCAACACTGGACAATTGGTCTGAATGTCTCTAAAGAGGAATGCTATATAGGCTATTAGCAAATTTAAAGATGCTACTCCTATATTTAGACTTTAAATATAGTGACTAATTTTAAACACACTCTTGCTGGTGATATAACTTCCTCTTAATGTGCATCAGTGTGAACATTCTTCATTAAAAGTGCTGTTGAAATAATGCCATTGTGAATAGTTAATTGGTTAAAAAAAACCTTAAATTGTTACAGGTAATTTGTTTTGAATTATAAATTCAACATAAAAATGCATAAACACAGAGGAATATCTTCTCTTCCACATGAGTTTTTTGAAGAAGCAACATGAATGTGCCCAGAGTGTTTGCATAACTACAGGTCTACAGGTCTCGTAGCCATCATAGAATTTGCTAGTGTATATGGTCAGAATTACCATCTCCCTGACCTAACTAGCAGATGCCCATGTAACAGCTGTTTGAATCAAGGCCTGCCTTGGAGGCACTACTAGTAAGCAAGGTTTAGAGGTAGGTTTAAGATTTGTGCAGCCCATTCTTTTAAGACTGACTAGATTGCCATGGTTAAAACAGGAAGATTATGCAGTGTACCTTATATCTTCAGGCTGATGACTGTGATCCATATAGCTATCTTACCTTACTAGGAATGTTAACTAATGACTAGCCACATCTTTTGGGAAAGGTTTCTTTAAGGAAAGGAAGGAGCTTGGAAAAAGCAATATTGATAGTGTGATTGTACAGTTGAATTTCAGAATAGTCAGTCTCTGGCAACTTGTAGTGTTGGTATCTGCGATGCTGTTGTCTCATAGACTGCAGCTATTTGCATTACTAGACCTTCTCCTGAATAGAGGTAAGTTGAAGTGCTTAGAAGCACCATGCCATGTGATAGTAGTGTGCTGCATGACATTTGTTTGTGTTGAAAGGAAGCATTAGTTCAGTGGCCTATTGTGTATGTGGGCAGTGCCACTGATAGTACAATATCCTGATGGTGGACTGTGCCATATACTGTGTCCGCTAGTGACTTATATATACACTTTAACATTTTTAAAATTCCCACTAATCACACAAGCATAAAGGTATAAAGCAGGGGGTGGGAGGTTGAACCAGTGATAATTACCCATATAAAACCAAATGCTCCTCTGCTTCTAAAAGCTTAGCTGTCCAAACATTTTTTTCAAAATATAGATAATATAAACCAATTAGTAAGAAAAGGATGAAGAGGAAACTATCTCAGCATGATAAAAGATAAATATCTGGGAGCTTTGAAAACCCAGTAGCTGAAATACTGTTGCTTTGTGTAACAAAAAGTGTAATTCTTCATCGTGGTCTTCTGTGAATGCACACAAAGGGTTAATACCAGCGCCAGCGTTGGGCCTCTCGGAACGTTTTCTAGCTGCAAGAGAAAAGTAACAATGTTTAGGACTACCCCTACTGCGCACGCCCAGCCTAACCGTCCCTCAGTTCCATTTGTCCGCCATAGGCCCTCGAGTCAGAGAGACGCCAGTGACAGACAGACAGAGGGGAGGCCGGGCGGGATTGTGTGAATTCACAGAATGACCACTTGAAGAACCATCGTTACAGGTAAGTAACCTTTCTTTTTCACTCCTTCCTAGCACATGTAAGCAGTATCCACTGGGATTCTCAAACATACAGAAACCCTACTGAGAATCACAACAGCTCTTTACCGGCTGGCTAGGAAGGAGTGAATTTTGCACCTTTTGTTGTACAGTGTGTTTAATAAAGCTATTGGTGTGGAACAGGGAGGGAACTCAATTCTAGTGACAGAAAACTAATTGTTTCTACCAAATGGTAGTTTTTTGTTTTTGTTTGTTTTGAGGCAGCTTCATTATGTACATCCTGAATATATTTGAGGGCATTGAGTTGATTTTATCAAACAGATTTTTATGTTTACTGCTTGGCTCTAAGTAAGGTCTTGTTGCTCAGAAATACATATGATTAAAAAAAGCAAATGCTGTGTTTCCCTTTCACCTTTACTGCAGTTGTTACCAAGAACATCTGCTCAATCTGCACTGATGTAGGATGAGGTTTGCCTCTCTTTCTCTTGAGGTTGTCACACATTCGATGCTGGGCTGTATAGTGCAGTCATACTTTAAAATTAGCTATCAGTCTTTCTTTGGGCTAGAATTTTTACCTGTATAAAGAGTTCCGTTTCTTGCTTGTAGAAAGAACTCTACAATCTTTTGGACAAAGTTTCAGAACTGGTTTGTTTGTTTGTTTAAAAAATGAACTAGTGTACTAAATTTGGTGTTCTCATGGCATAAAACTCTTCTTACATAAGCTCTGGTGAAAAAACAAGCAAATGCTTCAACCAACTGGTCTAATTGATTTTTCTTTCTTGCACTGAGTCTTCTGTAATTCAATAATAAAGGTGTGACTAAATCCATGAGCTCTGTGCTTCCTTAAACTCTAGATGGAAACTAGCGAGAAAAATGACATAAGTGTTGTTTACTGAAGATTCTTCTGCTGTAAGCTTCTAGGGTAGTGTCAGTACAATTCATTATAGCGGTGGACAATGTTCAGTACAGTGGACCCCCGACTTACAGACGGCTCCACTTACAGACTTTTCGAGTTACAGACTGGCCACAAAATTTAGGTTCGACTTGCAGCCAGAGAATCGGCTTACAGACCAGAAAAAAACCAAAATGGAACAAAAACGTCCGGTTACGGATTAATTGGTTTTCAATGCATTGTAGGTCAATGGAGACTCGACCTACAGACTTTTCGACTTGCAGCCACCGTTCAAATATGGATTAATTCTGTAGGTCGAGGGTCCACTGTGTTACAGTGGTGTATCGCTTAACAATTACCTCATTAAACGACGAATCCGCACGACGATTAGGTTTTTGCGATTGCTTTTGCGATCGTAAAACAATGTTCTAATGGGGGGAAAACGCTTTACGACGATTGGTTCCCTGCTTCAGGAACATATTTTTCGCTTTACGACGATCAAAACAGTTGATTGTCGGGTTTCCAAAATGGTTGCCTGCTGTGCAAAATGGCTCCCTGCTGTTTTTAGGACGGATTTTTCGCTATAGAGGGAGCAGAAAATGGCCATTCTATGGAGGATCTTCGCTGGACGAGCAGGTATTTCGCCCATTGGAACGCATTGAATAGTTTTCAATGCATTTCAGTGGGCTTTTTTATTTCACTTGACGACGATTTCGCTCAACAGCGATTTCGCTAGAACTGATTAACGTCGTCAAGCGAGGCACCACTGTACATACAACTCCTGAACAGTATTGTAGTTATCAACAGCTGACCATGTTTAGGGCACAAAGACCTTTTTCTTCCATGACTCCAAATATCACACGCTTCTCCACCTCATTCCCCATCATGTACTTGCCATGCGGGTTGAATTCTTTGCACCATATATGTACATGGACAAACCATTCCCTTCCAAGAAATGCACTGTAATATTTTTCAATTATAAATTTGGCTTATTGTAACTCATCTTCCTTGCATGCCCATGGGTCCTTCAGGACTTTGGTGTACAATTGTTTTCCCTTATTAGAGCATTCCAAAAGTAGTACAGATACTGTTAAATCCTATTTGCAACCCTGTTACAATATCCCATCACTTCTGTATTTTCTTACCACAGAAACTGGTTAGAAAGGGAAAGATGAACTTTTAGTAGCTCTAGGATCTTTGTGGAAGAACTGTAGTTGAGAACTTACAGGGTAGGTTCTATATAACCTTATGGACTACTGCTCGAACATTCCTTATATCAAATCTTCAGGCCTCTTAGAAAGGGGCAGGATGAACAAAATGTCACCTGGTATAGCAGGTAGTTGGGTTATGTTACTCTTTCACACACACTGCCGCTGATCTCTTAAAGAGATGGCAAGTGTACAGTATTGGTTACCCGCTACTTCAGTTTCACTCTTAAGGCATTGCTAACTATTTTACAAGAAAATTGGCCTGTTCTGTGTACAGTGGGGTCTTGACTTGAGAACTTAATCCGTATTGGAAGGCGGCTCTCAAGTCAAAAAGTCTGTAAGTCAAGTCTCCATTGACCTACAGTGCATTGAAAACCGATTAATCCCGTAACAGGCCGTTTTTGTTCCATTTTGTTTTTTTTCTGGTCTGTAAGTCAATTCTCAGGCTGCGAGTCAAACCTAAATTTTGCGGCCAGAGAAGTCTGTAACTCAAAAAGTCTGTAAGTCAAGCCGTCTGTAAGTCAAGGGTCCACTGTAGTGCATCAAAGTGTTCTAAGTTAAGGAGTGTATTTGGGGGCCATGAACTACACTCCAGACTATGGCCGAAGGGAAAAAAAATTAGATGCTAAAGTAGCCCAACATGTGACATCCGATATTAGCCTGTGATCTGTTTTGTGTTAGAGGTGATGAGTTTCCAGAAAATCCCCATCAGATTAATTTGGAATGTTGAGCTACTTCAAAAACTCTAAAGGAATTCCAAAAGTTATTCTGACCCCATTCAAGGTTTTCTGTCAGAAATCCTTTTCTATGCTACCAAAGGTGCTCATGTGGTGGCATGAATAGTGCGTGGTCTGCAGAGTAGGACATCATTCTGTTACAAATGGATGCCAAGAAAGTCAGTGACGTCTGATTTCAAAAGAAACTTCGCCCCCCCACCAATAAAAGGATTAAAAAGGGACATTGATGTGAAGAGTCAAGGAGATAAACTCTGAAACCACATTAATACAAGTGCCAGTAAAATGTATACCTCACGTGTGGGAAGGGTCCTATTAAATCCAATTACAGTAGTTGCCCAAATTGTCAGCAGGAGTGCTACTTGAATTCAGCTTGCTTCTGTTCCATATCAGTTGTGCATATATTAGCTCTTAGGTCCCTTCTGTCCAATCTATGTGCATGCATTTCTTAAAATCTGCCAACTCCATATACAGTAATCAAATACCAGGAAAACTGATTAAGCAATGTGAGGAAGCCACTGGAGAAAAAGATAGCTTCCTTAAGAAAATGGGGGTTTTGCCTAAAATGGAAAAGTGCTAATGAATCTCAAAGAATCCATGCCAACAAACAAAAAAGTCTGTTGTGCATCAACTTTCATATCGTCACTACTGACTGTTAGACTACAATGTGAGTTGTAACATCTGGTGAGTTCTGCATTACCCACCATTGCTTTAAATATGACATAGGTACATGTGTAGGGCTGTTGAGTGAGAAAAAAGTTGACAATGAGACTGCAGAGAGATTGGAATAATTTATATAGTTCACTGTAAATGATGTAGCACAGATCACCTATGCCTGAAGTGTTATTTTCGGGATTGGGTTTAATGAGTGGTGACAAGATGAAGGTCAGTCTTACAAACCTGCAACTGCCATCTAATAGAAAATGTTATTTGACACTTAATCCTAAACTAGAACCTGGCCAAGGTAACATTAGTTTTTAAAAAGGCAAGAGGAATGGATCCAGGAAATCATACAGGCTGGTTAGATTAAATATTTTCTGTGCGTTAGTTGGTGGAAATCATCAAAGAGCTAAAGGGACAAGCCTTACTAAAGCATCAATGGAACTTCTTCAAAGGTGAGTTATTTGTTATTTTTAAGAACATATGATGCACTGATCTAGTACATCACATGTTCTTAGAAATAACAAATAACACTGTGAATTTCCCAAAGACTTTAAGAGTCTTCCTCACCTAAAATTCCTGAAGCTAAGCCATTGTTGTGTAAAAGGACATGTCTTTTTATAGATCAACTAACTAGTAAAAGAACAGTAAGTATAAACAGGAGATTTAGTTCTCATAGTCGTTGTAAATGATGGGGGTCGTCCAGAAATCCCTGTTGGGGCTAGAGATTTTCAACTTGATCATCGTTGTGTGATCAGTGAAATGGCCATGTTTTGTGGACAACACCAAATGAACTGAATCAACCTATTTCATTGTTAGGGATTTGTATGGTTTCTACAGAGTCCTGGTCTGGAAAAAAATGGCTCTGGTCTAAAATGACGTTGATAGGGGGGAAAGTATATATATATTAATGGGGTCAGACTTGGTGCTGAATGATGAAGAATACAAACTTCAGGTTGTTGGGGTGAATGGCTCAATAAAGTTGTGCAGTTCCTGTGGAAAGTGCAAATTCCATATTGGGAACCATTCATTTATTTTATTACTTACATTTATATCCTGTCCATTTAGTGGCAAGCCGCTACTCTGGGCAGCTCACAACTGATAAATACATAAACAGCCCATGTACTCATCTACCAGCAAAAAACATTCAAATCAAAAACCAATAAGAAAAAAGAAACCCCAAAGGCAACTGCAAACTAATACAAATGGGGCAGCAAGAAAATCATAGGGGGAGGAAGTTTCTGAAGTCCTTTAAAAACTCTGGATTTCACATGTTTGCAGAGGGTTAAGAGGGGACCTGGTCTACATCCACAGGCAACGTGCATTCCACAATATTGCAGCCACCACCAAAAAACAAACAAAAAAAACCCCAGTTCCTGGTGGTAGATTTCTGGGGCTCTCTTGTGACAGTCCATAATGAAGGGCTTATAACTTAATACTTTGTTGTTTAGTTGTTTAGTTGTGTCCGACTTCGTGACCCCATGGACCAGAGTATGCCAGGCCCTCCTGTCTTCCACTGCCTCTTGGAGTTTGGTCAAATTCATGTTGGTCGCTTCGATGATACTGTCCAACCATCTCATCCTCTGTCATCCCCTTCTCCTCCTGTCTTCACACTTTCCCAACATCAGCATCTTTTCCAGAGAGTCTTAATACTAGCACATTAAATTTGGCACAGAAGCTAACAGGAAGCCAATGCCAATATGCCAGAATTGGAGAAAAATGGTCATATTTCCACACTCCCAACACAAGCCTACCTGCTGCATTTTGCAGCTGTTGCAGCCTTCATACTGCCTTCAAAGGCAGCCCCCCACATAGAAGAATGAATCCTGGAGACTGCCAATGCATGAATCAGTGTGGTCAGGGATTTTCTGTCCAGGAAGGGTCACAACTCTGCAATCTTGTCAGAGATGGAAAAAGGCAGACCTGGTCATCGCCAATATTTGTTTCTCCATGGAGAGTGCCACATCCAGATGCACCCCTAAGTTTTGGACCTGGCCCTTTAGAGGGAGTATGACACCATCCAGACCAGGCAAAATACCTACTAGCTGGGCAGACTCCCCTCCCAACAATATGATCTCTGTCTTGTCCAGATTCAGTTTCAATCTGTTAGCCCTCATCTAGTCCATAACTGAGGCCGAGCACCACTCCAGGGACCAGAGAGCTTCCACTGCTAATGGAAAGGAGTGATATAGTTGTATGTCATCAGCATATTGACGACAGTACTCCAAATCTCTAGATGACCTCCCCCGCAAAATACTAGTATTATAATACTTTCATACCTTACACTGTCTCCACATTTGTGACACTATAAGTCTTGTAATTGCACTTCCAAAATAATGAACTTCTGGATAGCTCAGTGGTTAAGGTATCTGGTTGGAGGGCCAGAAGTTGGGAGTTCAATTTCCCACTGTGCCTCCTTGAAAGGGGTTGGATTTGATGATCCATAGGGTCCCTTCCAGGTCTGCAGTTTAATTAAGATGATGATTTTGTAAAGCTGAAACAGGTACTGAAAGTGGAAAGTGAATTGGGGGCAACATGGGGCAATTCCCTATAGAGAAAGGTACCAACATACTGTATGATGCTTCTTTGATTACACAAGTGGAAGGAGAGAGGATAAAAATATGAATTTATGCATCCTGCAGTGGAAATGGATAGGCAGTTTATCTCCTTTATAACACTCAAACTCAAGGTCATACAATAAAGGTAATTCCATAAATTATTTTTATTTTAAAATATTTAAAAATATTTTATTTTTTAAAAAAGTAAACTTCCTAGCTGAACTATGGAAGATGGAACGTCACAAACTCTGGTACCTTTTAGATAGCTGTATATTACTTTCAGGTATCCAGTATGTTGTTGTGGATAGAGTGATGGACTAGGACTCAGGTGATCTGTGTTTGAATCCCTCCTCAGACACAGAAAAACCATGGAGTAGCGTAGCGGCACTGATAAAACTATTCTTTAAATATCTCGAATACTTTGAAAACTCTGTTAGGCTTGCTGTAAGTTGAATGTGACTTGACAATACATAACACACATATTACTTTCAGGATGAAAAGAAAGGGTGGCCACTTGAAAAGAAGTCAGGGCTCCCATGTCTTTTATAATTATGTGGCAGAGAGCATTTCAGGTGTAGCATGTGGTAAGCAACACCTGCTGAAATTACCTCTTCCATACCATTATTAAAGGTAGAGACACACCCCCCCTTCTGTCTTCTTGTGTTTGTCAGAAGCCGTATGTATTCAAGTGCTAGTTCTTGGGGAATGCAACCATAAACGGGTTTTCCATGGGCATCTAAGTTGGGGGTCTGTGCTAACAGAATGCTGGTCTGGATAAGCCTTTGGTGTGATCCAATACACTCTTTATAGTCTTAATGAATTTCTGAGTTCAGGAGGAGCTCTGCAGTTACTGGCCTGTGACTCTCATCAGCTTTAAAACAAGCTCTATTCACAACAGCATATGATAAAGAGACCACAGGAACTGCAGTTCAGTGACAACTGAAGGACCGCTTTGCTCACTCTGGCTGTAGCCTGTGTATAGATGTTGAAATTCTATAGGGCTATTACAACATTCATGCATTCATTTATTCCTTTCCCCATGATGGGACTCAAAATGGTGTACAACAGGTAAAAATACATATATTTAAAGTAACAATAGCTTAAGATGTTAATACTAAAGCACGATTAAACCTAAAGAGTGTTGAAGTGTCACTAGTTACAACACATTTAAAGCATGATTAAAAATTGCTGCACCCCTTCCAAAAATTCCAGTCCTGCCAGGGCAGTCGCAGATCAAAGGCGGGTTTTAAAAGGAAGGTTGCCAATGGCTGCTGGAAGGACTGCAAGGAGAGGGCCAGCCTAGCCTCCTGTGAGAGGGTCTTCCGCAACCTGGGAGCAGCCACAGAGAAGGCCCCTCTCTTAGCTCCGTGCCTGTGATGTCAATGGAACCAAGAAAAGTCCTTCCTGAAGATCTCACGGACCAAGCGGATTCTATGAGGTGCTTTGCTGTGGAAAATGAAACTAGAAGCAATACTGTAGAAATATGAAGGCCTTCTGTTGGTTCTATCAACAGAAAATGATGTTTTTGTTTTTAAAGAAAGCTTTGCAGGGTCCTTTGCTGTGCCAATAGGATCCAGTTTGCCACAGGAGCCATACAAATGCTACAGAGGGCAAACGGCAGGTAGGGCCAGGCCTTCATAGATGCTCTGTATGCCAAGCACCTCCATTCATTTGCCCTGAGGTGGGTGGAGATGCTGTGAGCAGGCCTTCCTTTCCCAAGAACTGGCTTTTGGGAAAGGCGATTCAAAGACTGATGTGGACCAATGTTCTCCCTTGGAAGTAGGCTTTCAGATGTTGATGGCTGGAATTAAATCATGGGTGGGGAATTCAGGCCCTCCAGATCTTCCGAACTGCAACCCCCATAGTTCCTTATTGCTGTCTGTGCTAGGTGGAGCTGACAGGAATTGCAGGGCAAAATGGGCAAAAGATACCCCACCCCTGAGACAAAGGCTTCTCTCCATGCTCTTTCTGAGGTGAGCAGATGCTGATTTCCAAATGAGTAACAGTACAGATCTATAGTATGGTGCTGCTAGAGATTTGGACTATGTATGAGGAAGAGATGACTAGAACTACACAGCCTGACCGCTCAACTTCCTTTCCCGTATTCATCCACAGCAGGAAGCATAAGGAGTGGGCAGGGAATTGGTTATTATGTAAAAACTGGAGTTACCGCTCATCTGGGAGTGCAGAGGTTCTTACAAATTATGTGCATTAATTTCATTAACCTGAGGCTGGGTGTGGCAAAGTGGTACTTGTGAAACTGCTAGGGTGTGTGGGTGTTCTCTCCATCCTGTTGCCTGTCATTTGGGGATTGCTCATTATATACAGGAGGCACCTACTCTTCTCATCACTGAAGGCTTCCTTAAGCAGCAAGAACATGGAAGGCTTGTGGAAAAGTGGTGTTCTGCTGGTAACCCTCTGCTTGGCTTTCCACCAAGGTAAGGGCAGCTCATGTGCCTTTTAGGAGACAGAGGGAAGACACAGAATGTTTATTTTTGTAAGAAGGAGGAGGGGTGAAAGGGGCTTTGATCCATGAAACACAGTATGGAATGTAATAGGAACGGCTGGCCCTTGTTTGTGTTCTTGAGGGAAAAGCTCAATTTGTTCCATGAAGTCTTGAATGGAGATGGGTTTTGTGAAACAAGCAGGCGCTGGGAAGGGGAAGAGAGGTCAAGTCATATCCTGAAGTGCTATCTGCAGTAGAGAATATAAGTATGCTCAAAGCAGAGCAACTCCTTGGTTTACTTTTTTTAAAATAGAGTTTTAGATGTCTTACAATCCTATTGACCTTTTTTAAAAATTACTCAATTTGCCTTTGAAGACTGATAGCCATGGATAAGAGGGGTCATTTTGTTCTTTCGTATGCAATGGTCTAGATTTGAGGTAGTGCATCTAGGCCATGGGTGGAGAGCCTTTTTATGCCTACAACTTAGTAGTAAGAACTGAAACCTAAAGTGAGGGAGAACCTCTAGTAATTAGACCCCAGGACAAAAGTCTCAGTCACACGAATGGGAACTTTAGAGAGGAGCCGGTCTGCTGTGAGGAAGGGAGGCCATGGGTCAGATCCAAAGGCACCATGGACCACATTCCGCCTGCCCCTTGCCTAACATGGTGACAGGCAAAAGCGTTAATATTCTACTAAAGGGAATAGGGAGAAACCAGCATTTGACAGACTTGCCTATATTTACTGTATTCTGACTCCCTGCCTGATTCTGATACACTTTTGTTCAAGAATAATTGTTTTAACTATTAATATGCTATTTTAGCCACTTCTCTGCCCTAACTGTAGTTTGCTTGCAACCTCTACATAGGCAACAAATTAAAAAAAATTGGCAATTGTAGAAGGCAAGGATTAAACAAGTATTGATATGGGTTTTTAAAAAACCAAAAACACCCACAAAGTTTTAGGGCAATCTTTCAGCCTGGGAAATTTCATTTTCTTTGTTAGCGTTTCCATTCTTGCTAGACCTGTTTCCAAAGTTGCTAGGTGTCTTTGTTTCAAGGCAGGACTTGCACATCAGTTTACTTACATGATAAGATAGTAGGCGCACACATCATAGGAAACAAATTGTTTGGGTTCAGAAATGTTTTACACACTTGGAGCCCTGGCTTCCTTTTGTTGTGCTGGCACTAGGAGTGAGCATGAGTAGCAAATAGGTAATACTTTGTCTTTCAGAAGCTAAATAAACATCCATGCAAAGGGTGGACTCCTCATAATTCTCTACCCAAAAAATGCACTTTCTGGTAATAGGGTGTAAGTAATGCTGCGGGTAGCAGACAGCAAATTGGCATTTCTACTTTAGTATTTATTTCCAACTGAAAAAAAAATTAATTTATGCTTTACCCACACAATCGAAAATAAATTATAGTGGCTTTACTGCTTGTTGTAACTTGTGAGACTACCTGGTGTATGTTAGTGCTGTGGTAGAGTACCGTACGATAGGCCAGAGTTTGGAGAAGTTACCATTTGGACTGTAACCCAGACAATCCCCCAGCCATGGAGTCTTTTTCCAAGCTCTATATCAGATTTCCAATGAAGCCTAGATTTTTCTCCTTCAGCCATTAGAGGAGTCTCTGCCCAGAAGCCTGACTGAATTGTGGTTCTTTGCTTGAACATAAATGGATCTCTGTGGACCCCTCTGTCTGCACTCTGTAACTTTGTAGAGAAAACAGGTTTCACACAAAGTGGAGCTGCTCTAAGTGTCTAATATGGAAGGTGGAGTCGGGACAGGTCATGGCTATGGTTAGTAAATATCTCCATGTTTCTGCCCCATCTCCACAAACAGTGGCCTACAGGGATTCTGACAGTCTACACCTTTCACGTAATGCGTTCTTTCTCTTTCTCTTTACTACAAAGTTACAAAGGGCATGTGGTATACTGATTATAAATTTACTAGGCTTTCTCTTTCTCTCTGTGTGTGTCTCAATGCCTGCTGAAACAGAAACATCTTACCTATTTGCTAGGAAGGAAGAGTACTGGCCTGGAAAAAAAAAGATTCTGCCTCTTGTCCCCATAATTTTAAACTCTCAAAGAGAAGGACCAGCCTTTGCCAACCCAGCACCTTCTACGTGTCTGTGGGCCACAAAATCCCATCACTCTAGCTAGCTTGGCTGTGCTGTTTTGGGGAAGATGGGGTCTCTAGTCCAACATCTTTAGAGGGTATCAGTTTGGGGAAGGATAGGCTGGAGCATCCCAAAGACTCAGGTGGTGTGTTAGTTGTCCTGCTGTGAAAAAGGCACTTCCAAGGCCTGCTGACTCTTTTCCCATGCTTCAGGATCACTACCACCCTCTCCTCTAGAGCACAGGCAGAGCCTTGTGACGAGCAGTTTTTCGGGCCTGACTTGCCTTGAGGAGGTTCTGTAGGAAGTGTATGTGTACATAGCATAATTGTTCCAGAGATACTCTGAATGTGAAAGACACACCCCAACTCCCACATCATTGCACCATAGGCAGATGTCTTGCTTGCAAGCTGAGTGAGACACATCCCTGCCCTGGGAGCTTTAAGCTCTTCTGGCAAATGCAATATGAAAGATAACATAATCAAAAGATGAGTCCTATCCAGTTCAGTGCTCTCAAAGCATTGACAGTACCATGTAAGGGCAACATCAGTGGTATGAGGGGAGAATGCTGTCAAAATAGCCAGCGGGGTAGAAAAGGATAAATCCTAAAAGTTGTTGACGTTATGACTGTTAAAGCAGCTGCACTAGTTGGGCTTTATGCACTTCACTTTGGAAATAGCTCCAACAAATGTTGGCCTGTTCACCTTTTCCTCCAGATTTCCTTCCGTTCTCAAACTAAAACTATGTTTACATTTCTTTTATTTTGCAACATTCCTTATGTCCCGCTCCCACCGGACAGACTACTGGGTAAGGAGTGGTTCACTTACAGCGGTGGCTCCCAACCTTTGATTCTCCATTCTTTTGGTCTTCAATTCTCAAAAGCATGGCCGAAACATCTGGAGGGCTGAAAGCTGGATGATATTGTTATGCATACCTTACAGAATACTGTATGCTATCATGGGAAATAGTGATGGTGCCTGATGAAGATGGCTTGGATCTGCCATTTTGAGAGGCAAAATGGTCATGGGAAATAGTGATGGTACCTGATGAAGATGGCTTGGAAGCCACTTCGTTTAGTTGCTAATATTAGTCACAAGGTTTACTTGGATCTGCCATTTTGAGAGGCAAAATGCCACTGAATACCAGTTACTGGGAAGCAAACATGGCTGAGGGCTTCTATCTTGAAGTCCCGCTTATGCTCTTAAACTTTGCTTCCAATCTAGCAGGGAGTCTCATCTGTGCTGACCCATAAAGACCCGAGTGAATACCTCTGCTGCTGCTCTTTCCAAATCAATACTGTGATTTGGAAAGAACTGCAGAATTATTGCAAGCATTCATCTAAAAAAGATATTCTGCAACTAGCAACCATACTGTAGGGTGCTAATGCTTGGATTTCCCATAATAATTTTGGAGAGGCAGAATAAGAGTCGAGAATGGCGTGTATGAACTTTCCATAGGTGACTAATAAAGAGTTGTCTGCAAGTGACAAGACTGACAGTCAGGACTGTTGCACTACTTTAACGTGCCATGTTCTACAGTCCTGATTAATCCTCACACTAACTCAGAAAAAACTTGTTAGTACTTGTACTTTTTTTTTGCACAGGGGAATCTGTAGTTAAGACATGCTTTCGATACCCGGTTCAAAGCACTTGCTATAATTTTTCACAGGTTAAGTACATTCTCTTCCAAGGTGTTCTACCAGGTTCTTCACTGAAATAGACTGAAGTCTGCACAATGTGTGAAAAAAGGCCTTAATACTGGAACTGGAAACGGTCAAGGAGGGAGGGGGACAGTTTATTATTGGCTTGTCAGGCCAGATATTCATCATGGTTTGAAAGGATGAAAAGGAAGCTTGCTTATAGTTTTTAAAGGTGTTTGGAAATCAATGGGCTAAATCCAATGTCAGTCAGAACTAGGATAGTTCCATCACAACAGATGATGAAAGTTCAATTGATTTCACTGGATTACCTCTAGTTGGGAGTGACACTACTAGATTTAGCCTAATACTGTATATGCCACAGTCTGGCCATATCTTGCCTGGTATCTGATCTGGTTACTTGCTCACGGGAAGAGGTTGGCATTATTATAGCACCTTGCTAATGTCCAAAATATAGATGCCGTAACTGGTCCAGGAGGAGTTTCTCTTGGCCAGTGCTCAGCGCTAGAGGGCAGAAATGTTTAGTGGAATGGAAGGCAAGTAGTACAGGAGAACTTTGTGGCAATAGGAGATTATCCAGGCTAGGGGGAGGGACCTTGGGTGTGCTAATAATCCCTGATTCTGCTTGGTTGTCCACACCTAGCTATAGAAAAAGACACTGCACACCACTGCAATTGCTGTCTCTATCCTCTTGCATATGAGTTCAAGTGAGGCCTATGTCAGCAGATGGGTGATTGTCTCCTGTATGAAGGAAACTGTGTTCTATAATAGTATGTATAAGCTGTGATAAGTAACACACACCTATCTGATTGTGAGCCAGCTAGTCAAATGGGATGCAGATGGGAAAACCATGGAAGGGACAAGTCAGAATCGCTCTGAGCATTGCCGTGAGTGAGAGTCCTCCATAGAATCCTCTCTGTTAATCCTGGGAGTCCTGCCCACTTCTTACTTGACTTCTGGTCCCGCAGCAGGCACTGCCAGCAGCATCTCTAAGCCCTGCTTTCTTAGCCAGGACAATAGATACTTGTTGAACAGTCCAGAAGTCAATAATCCAGTTCACAAAGAAAATGTTTATCACTGGACTGTAAAGCTTTTGCTAGCTGACAATGCTTGGGCTTCAGCCCTGATAATCTATTCTCCATAAACAGGAACAAAACATCTGGAAGGTTAGAGCAACCCACCAAACCATCAGGAAAACCAGAAGGTTTGTTTCAGCTTAAA